GTGTGTTCCGGTGCCCCGGGAGAAGGAGGCCTCCGTTCGTGTGACTGAATGCCATGTGTGTTCCGGTGCCCCGGGAGAAGGAGGCCTCCGTTCCCTGGTGCTGGAGATACAGGAGGTTGTTGTCATGGGATATGGTGATGGGAACTGAACTTGGGTCCTTTGGGAAAGCAACAAGCACTCCCAACACATACTGTTTCTCCAGCCTGTCAAAAAGCCTTTTTATTGATTAAGCAAATGATGAGAAACAATCCGGAGTGTAAGTCAGAGACCCTGAGAGCACAAAACACCAGGATTTCTCTTAAATTTGGGAGCTGGATTTCTAAAGTTTCTAAAATATAAAAAGCATATTTAAAATTCGAACAACCAGTCGTTCAAATGACTAGAGAGTTGTTTGTGGCTTTTTGTTTGTTTGTTTGTTTTTGTTTTTCGAGACAGGGTTTCTCTGTAGCTCTGAAGCCTGTCCACGTCCTGGAACTAGCTCTTGTAGACCAGGCTGGCCTTGAACTCATAGAGATCCACCTACCTCTGCCTCCCAAGTGCTGGGATTAAAGGAGTCTGCCACCACCGCCTGACTCCTAGAAAAATTTTAAAAGGCCATTTCCATGAGAAAAGATTAAGCAATAGAGCCAGTGTCAGGTAACTAAGTTCAAAGTGTGTTTTCAGAACAGGGTGGCCTCATCTGCATGGAAAGCTAATGGCAATTAGAAGGCCCAACTGGTCTGTCGGTCCTGCAAATGTCTAGGTATCTTCTAGTCTTCATTTTCTCAGCTGCTTCTAATTTAGAAGCAAATTTGTGTAAAAAGAAAAAAATGACAGCCACTGTTTTGAAGTGGCTCCTGCTGTATGTGCTTTGACCCCTGAGTGTCCTGACCGTCCCATCCACCCTCCTCTCCACCGACTGTCACCTCGTAGGCTGAGCTACCTCACTTCCGTGGTATGGCTCTTCTTTCCCATGGATGCTTCCTGAATCCTCTTGGTCTGTCGGAGAAGCTCCTTTCCCAGGCCTGCTCCCTCCCCCCACCCACTCTTTCCCTCTCAGCTGAAGTAGATTCCCTCCCTGCAACTCCCAGTAGAAGCTTCTCTAGCGCTCCTTATGGAATCTTTCCTTTCAGCATTTAGCTACCACACCTTCTCTTCTTTCAACGTTTACCACACTGCTTGTTTCGATGTCTGTCTTCCAGCCCCAGGTTACCATAGTTGGTCTCCATTCTCCGAACCCACGTTTAGGTGGAGAGATAACTCGAGATGGCAATCTGGTTTCTGCCGTGGGTTATGTGGAAGCGGCTGGCGTGGTATCGGACAGCTGTCCTCGCTCCTTGGTCAACACTTGGAGTTCTGTGACCCGTCTTAGGCGCTTCACCATTACCACTTACGCCAGGTGTTTCCTCGCTGTGGTTTTTCCTTTCTCCTCTCTTCCCGTCTTTTCCGTGTGTCAGCCTTGCGGATCCTGGTTCTGTGGGCACCGTCACAAAACTGACCTTAGTAAGTAGAGGCAGGAAGAGCTACTGGACACAGGGTGTGAAGGCACTGGGGGACGTGTGCAAGGCCAGCAGATTCTACATAAGACAGGATTTGGTAGGGTATCTGGTGCTTTTTAAATACTTGTTTTATTATCACATTGTATGAGTGTTTGGCCAGCATCTAAGTCTGTGTAATACACATGTTCCTGGTGCCCGGGAAAGCCAGAAGAGAGTGTTAGGTCATCTGGAACTGGAGATACAAACTTTATGAGTTGCCCTGTGGGTGCTGGGAATCAAACCCATGTCTCCTGAAAGAGTAGCCAGTGCTCTTGGGTACTGAGCCTTCTCCCTGGCCCTCAAGATACTTGATTCATTACTATTATTTGGTATTTGGCGTATATTCATTGTACATTGGTCACTGACCATAGTGACCCTTCCAGGGTGCCCACCCCTCTTCTCTTTGTCCGTCCTGGAGGTGCTTCAGACTCGGGTTGTCAGTCTTGCATGGCGGACTCCTGCACCCACAGAGGCAGCTCCCCGTATCTCCTCCCCCTAGCTTCTAATCTCTTTCCACCTACCTAAGCCAGAAAATGTATTCCTCTGTCTTTGCATTCTTTCCAGAGAAAGGCTGGAAACATTCTGCTAGCAACAAGATATTTGATTATAAATGCAAAAGTACTACTGCCTTTTATTTGTTTATGCCTTAATTCAAATATGATCTTGACTTGATTTAATTGCACCAGGTCATGTACTATAACTAGTCTTTGTCCATTTTTCTATGTCACAAATTCACATTTGCATTTTATTCCAGGGAGTTGATTCAAGGCCCACTTGGATATGTCTGACTCTGCTGTAAATCTGTAATGTACACTTGCTGGGACTCTCTGCCCATACAGACTTAAACAGGTGTTCTTAAAACAGGCACCGTCTTCAAGATTTATTTTTATAATCATTTTCTGTTGCCTCTAGTGCTATTATTGTCTTTAAGGTCTTCTTAAGAATGGGCCTTACCAAAAAAAATATTTCTTACAAAACATAGAACATTAGGTTTAGCAACTTCTTAGTAATCAGATATTTATTTTAGATTTGCAATAAATAGGAAAATTCTGACTGTAAATCAAAGTGTGATTTTTTTTAATGTACATTGATGTCTTGCCTGCATGTTTGTCTGTGTGAGGATGCCACATCCCCTGATCTGGAGTTACAGACAGTTGTGAACGACCATGTGGGTGCTGGGAATTGAAGGCGGATCTTGTCAAAGAGTGGCCAGCGCTCTTAACCGTGGAACCATCTATCCAGCCCAAAATGTGGAATTTTTATTTAAAGGTATCAGTTGCCTTTTAAGGTTTCTAAATGAAGAAGTAAGTATCCCACTGGTTATGTTTCTAGAAATGTTGATAGTTTACTAATTGAGGTACAAGTGATAGCCTGGGAAACAGATACAGAAGCATCTTTGGTTTGTTTGCAGTTCCTTGCTTACCTTCAGCTGTGTAGGAGTGCTGCCTGTCGACCAGCTCTGTGTTGTAGAGATGGGCAAGGAGGAGGTGATCCGTGTGTTTGGTTGACCACGGGAGGATGCTGAGGTTTCAGCGGCCTCAAGTTCTCTTTCTGATAGTTTGCTCAGAGTAGGCTGATATTTTACGTGACCTATTACTGCTCCACAAAAGAGAAACGAGGTGGGTTCCCAATATTCTAGGATGCTCTGGGAAACTCTCAGGACTGGGAAGTATTTGTAACACATTTTAAAGTAAATTAAGCACTAATTGAAAGTAAATTAGGAAGTGGCATTACATTCTCAAAGGACCAGCAGTGCCCCATTCAAAGCCCTGAAGACAACCGAAGTTTGATTCTTCAAGGAAAGGCTGTATAAATATGCCATGTATGAAAGGCGAGTTGGTATTTTATGGAGGAGGAGTTTAAAAGTTAAGTGACAACCGGATTGGGTTGATGAAGTGCATTTTACCTCTAGCCAGAGGATTACACAGAAGGTGGTAAATGCCGAAGCTCATTTATAAATGAATTCTAGCGAACCCGTACATAGTAAAACGTTACAGTGTTACAGCTTACAGAGCTCTTTTACGTATTCAATGTTATTGGACCCCAGTAAGAAGTCGTGTGAGTTGAGAACACAGAATTTCTGGTATTTCAGCGGCAAAGCCGGGGGTCATTGCAGTTAAAAGGTTTATCTCTGTGTGTTTAATCTTGTCGGGTTTCAGGCACAGAGTCCTCGATGGCTGTGGCGGTGCACACACTGCTGTCGTCAAGGCTGCCTGCTCTAAGGTTCAGTGCAGTATGGCGTGTATGAAGTGTTCTTTCGTGCCTTTAGTCCACTTGATCAGAGGGCCATGTACTTCTCTCTGATGATAGCAATGCATGACTGCACCCAAGTGCCTCATCAGACCAACTGAGTAATTGCCTTTTGGCCAAAGCCAGTGGAAGCTTCTTTGTTTCTCTTAGACTTCATGCTGAGCAGTCATGAA